AAAAGTGCACGACAGCATTGCTGATGCCACACAAACTCATATATGCATACATACGTACATACATACATACATACATACATACATACATACATACATACATACATACATACATACATACATACATACATACATACATACATATACACGTACATACGTACATACGTACATACATACATACATACATACATACATACACACATGCATGCATGCATACATACATGTATACATAAATACAAACACACAAATCTATACTCACTCGAAAGATAACTCTCCATCAGTTGCCGGCCAGAACGTTCGGAACGAATGACTATTACTGACCTACTTACGATTTCACACTTGAAACTAATTTAAAAAATAATTGAGTACAATTGTTTTTCATATCAACTTTTACAAAATATTATTTATTAACATTTAAGAATCGTACAACAATGAGCGATTTAAAAAAAATATAATAATTAAGATATTTAAGACATTGACATGTTTAGTGGTTCCAATAAAACTATACACAATAATGATAGTTTTATTGCAGAGCTATATTAGCTTACTCTACTCCTCCAGGATGCACCAGCACGGTACTCATTGGTATCTCCTAGAAAGCTGTTGTTTTGCCTAACCACAGAGATTTGTTTACAGATTAAAATCCTGAAAAATGTTATATTATAAAACAATACCGAATACTTGCCAAGCCCCCAGAACCCATACACGCGTGTCTACATTTAATAAACACATATACATATAGAGACTACATCTCGGTCAGTCAGACGTGATTAATAACGGTTTAAGTTAACACCAACAATAGAATTACGTATCGCTAAATCTATCCCATAGTCACTAGTGCAAAGATATCATTGACGTTTGATCTATTTTGTGAAATCCGTCATAGTTATCCTTATTGTATTGGATTGTTTGTTCAGTGGCTTGCCGCATTATTGTATCTATCGGTGAACCATGTTGAGATCCGTCGTCGCCTTAGAGTATATTCGAATTATATAGCTGAAATCAAAACAGAAAATGAACCAAAATCAAAACGATTATCAGCTGAGTTTCGTGTAATTGAAAATCGGAAACAAGGGACGATAAGTTTAAAAAAAAAATAAGATGACCTGCTATTGTACAGACGAACTAATTTAAATAAAGGCCGGTACATAGTAAAACATGTATTTATCATCATTATACCATAAACTTTATTTTGTGTTCTTTTAATGTAATCATATACGTATTCAAAGTTTTTCATGGCTTAATTTGGAAAGCTACCAATTACAATCTGTTGGTATCCCACCTGCCTAACAGGTTAAGTACCTCTTCCGAACCTTCCTGTCAAAAGGACACTCTACGAGCCGTTATTCCTTCACAATGGGCGTTACCCCTAGGGTCATGCCTTTCCACTTTCTTTTTTTCTCTCTATATGAATGACATCCCAAGAGAACCACCAGTCATTATGAGGCTTTTCGCCAATGATACTAACTGAATAAACATCTCGATCTAGTCATCATTAAAATATGTTCATTCATCTCGTAACCGGTGATAGGTGGTATTAGCCGAACGTCGACGTGCACATGATTGAACAAGAAAAATTTGAACAGAACGCCCACGTACTACAAAAATTGTTGATTTAATTAAATGGATTATTGAAAATGCCGAAAACCAGCCCAAACCTCTGGTGGTAAACGAATTAGGTACCTGACATAGACGTAACCGTTTACAAACGTCGCCTGCGCAACGTCCTCGTATACGTTGGATGCGTTGAATCCGCGCGACCCTTGTTGGATCCACAATAATCCTCACCTACGAGCACGATGAAAATAACACAACGCGAACATAAGGTAGTTACACCCTCGTTCCAGGATGGTTCTCACTGTCGCCAGTCACCGATCTATACAGTCAATGTCTATTGGGCCACGTTTCAAACAAATCAACGGCTATCTTGGTAATGAGCACATGCGCTGCCATGAGTACATGCTGTTAATGAGCAACGCGGAGGGTCATATCAAGCTTGTGGTTCCTAGTTAGCTAAGAATTAAACTTTTTTCTAGTTAGCTAAGAATTATTGGCTAATTGTAATTAAGTAAAATAACACACCCAGATCGATGGTTAGGCATCCTTATTACGTTTCAAATATGCCATGTTTAAACTACTGATTGTTCAAATACTCACCGTTAAGTGAGAAACATATAGGTTACGATATTTCTAAGGTAAAATCCGAACGAGGCGAACCTAGTATAATATTTCTCACATGCGGCCAGAGTGCGCAATTCACATCGAATCTTTCCATGGTCGAATAAATGTTGCAGAGTAATCTGTAGCTAATGGCCTCAATAGAGTAATCACCCTTGTACCTGGAGTGCAGCCATGACCACTGTAATTGATAAATGCCGGTTTGAAGCATACATACATATATGTAAGATACCAAAGTATCAGCTTGACAGTTATGATATAGCAATCTTTTGGCTATGTCAATTATTTGCCTTTAAAAAAATTAAATTAAAACCTCCGAAATTGAAATCGCTAACCGGAGTAAAAACCATAAATGCTTAGTGCTCGACACTATGATAGCTCAGTGTCCAGGCGCCTTCTTTTAATTTAATAAATTCGAACCAGCACTTATATTTTGAACTGTTCACTAATATTTGTTTAAGTTGATTGGAATGTATTAGATTACAAGAACAGCTCACAATATAATATAATTATACAATATATATATATATATATATATATACCCAACAAAACTTGCGTGGGTAACGAAGCTTTCTTCTTCAAAGAATTCTGAAATTCTACATAGACAGTAGCATGCCAAATTAAGAAGAACTAGTGGTCACCCATTGGTGATTTATCATATTTAAGTAATTAAATTAATATAACAATCTTTACTCTGTCGAACTGTATGCGTAAAGGACATAAGTATCGTATAATGGTATAAAAACATTACTTTCAGTTATAAAAATACTGATCAATAGAAGTCAACATTACTAAAAATGAATTTGAAAAGATATTCATGCAGCTTAAGTTCGGAAAAGTTTCCAAAACGGTGCAGTTGACCTGACTCTATCAAGTTGCTCTAGTCAAAGCCGATACAAAGTCCATAACTTGATAACTTTGTAGTCTAATAACTTTATCGTAAACAATAGACGTCAGTGTGTCAATAGTTATATTTATTTTACAGAATAATATCGTTTAGAGTCGGTTACTTTCATCGTGTTTTATTTTTTTTAACCTTTGGATAACAAGTGGATATATATAACTGTTCGATAACATTATCGTGTTTTGTAAGAGTGCTTTACATACATACCTGTCTTCACAAATAGTTATCCAGTAATCGAATCCACGACCCCTGGCGCCTCAGCCAATGCCTTGGCAACTGCGCCACGGAGTCGTCAATTCTTAAACTAACTTAAAATTAGAATGTAATACCTGGAACGTCACAGCGTTTATACTATCGAAAATTGAATATAAACGTTTGAATTATACAATCTCAACCAACCAACCTAGCAATTGAAACAAACTTCACGTGAAATTCAGTTGCCGAAAATGTTTAATTTAAAACTGTTTCCACTCGCCTCTAGTTAATTATAAAATTCATTAATTTATCAATATCCTTTGCATATATATTTCCGTTCGGATTAATGTACATGTAATAAAAATCTATTTATAGATTATTTATTGTATGAAACTATGTTTTTTTACCATATTGAGATTTATATAGTGACAGATACTTCACTTTGACTCATCAGACGGTAATGGTTTTGGTGAATGGTTGATTAAACGAATTTAACACATGATTTTAGACAAAAGCTTATTGCATATTTAAAATAATGGCCATTTAAAGAGAGTGATATCCTTTAGCACTGCAATTTATAGAATCGTTTTTAAGATTCCGTACCCAAAGGGTAAAATGGGACCGTATTACTAAGAATCAACTATCTGTCTGTCTGTCCGTCTGGCACCAGGCCTTTTATCTCATGAAACGTGATAGTTAGACAGTTGAAATTTTTACAGATGATGTATTTCTCTTGCCGCTGTAGCAACAAACACTAAAACAGATAAAAAAATATTTATGTGGCTCTCCCATACAATGTTACGGACCCTGTCGTGCGCGAGTCCGACTTGCAATTGACCGGTTTTCTTAGCATATTGTAATACTTGCGTATTTTAATTTATTTTAGTCTCTATACAGTTACATCTTAATATTATACAATGACAACGAAGTTGTCGTGTTCCACATCTTTCACGTAAAATGTTGTATTCCGCGCTTCTTTCCCTCAGCTTGTTCAAAATGAACAATTAACTCTTTTTCACAGTGCGTTTGGCTTCTTTTTTTTGTTTTAAGAAAAATACTATGAAAATATATGTTTCATGTAAATTAAAGTAGATATGATCCGATGGAAAACCGCAGCGTTGATACATAGCTTTTATCGTAGAAAATTAACAAATTTGCGTATTTTTTTTCAATTTCGTAAAACTTTGTTTTGAGTTGTTTTAGTATTAAGACAGCATTGGCGATGGAGCAGTGCATTATAGGTACATTACATATTACAGTGGTAGGGCCACGCAAAAATTTCTTATGTTGCACGAATGTGCAGGTTGTCCGGAGAATTAACATGGTCTCACAGAGGTCCGACGTGAAGGGAAAGTGCTACTTTCGCTTTTTTCGCCTGAAGAAACCGGGGCCTACTTACCACGTACAATCAGGCTAGTGTAGCAGATGTCCATGGGCGGCGGTAACCACATAACATCAGGTGAACCACCTGCTAGTTTTCCAACTTTTGAATAACTTTCCAACAATGATAAAAATAACTCACTACTTCGACGCAATCAAAATTAAAAACTTAAATTTTTTTTTGAGTTCTCATAAAAAGAGATACTGATAACAAAAATTCATTACATTAAGAAAGTTTTGAGCGAATCGAGCTTATGTTATTTTTATATAGATTTTGTAAATTGTAATCATCATGTGAGGTTTCCGTTTTTACTTTGCAACTATATCATTATTAATTTTTCAACAGATTGTGGGCGACGTCGATGTAGGTCGCAGGCGCAACAGTCATCACTCGTTGCCATTATGCAGAGGTAATTAACAATTTTTGTAACTGTTATAACAACGTGGCTTTCGCATTATTTTAACACATTCCATTTGACCTTTATCTAAGACCCTTAACAGATCCAAGACTGGATCTGTCAAGGGTCTAATTGTTTCATTTTAACAATGTTCGTTAAGGAAAACTTTTAAGGTATTAAAAGCATTTTGACCTCAATCGAATGTCGAACCTCATCTTCTTAATAGAACACAGAGACGAAGAAGCCATTTGACTATTACCACAATAATACCTCTGATGTTTGATTCATTAAAGTGCTTTGAAGTTTTAATTATGAACGACAATGGAATATTCTGTAGTTAATTAGAAATGTTGTTACAGCTTTCTTCAAAGCCTCCGAGAAATAAATTGGGCTCAGGTCCAACGCGATTTTCACAACATCTTTACAAAACTCATTCGGACCCGTGATCCGAGGGACTTCGAGACCAACGAGGGAAGCCCTGGAACGGGAAGGCGTCGCCTATCAGTAAGTCGAAAAACATACTAAATATTTGTTTTCAAGAATTACTATTATATACTAGTAGAATTACTATTATATACTAGTACGATTTCAGTAGTGTCAGAAGTTGTTTCTGGCAACCACGTACAGATGTACTCAAAATCAACTTTTTTATTGGTAGCATGCTTTTTTTGTTCTAGAGTTTTATATAATAATAAGTCAAATAACAAAAAACACTTTAATTGTATTTACGGCATTCACTAAAAACTATTTTTTTTTTTACTTTTAAAATAGCATTACTTCAAATTAATGTTAACCATGTTGCTAATTAAGACATTGTTAATAAAAATAATATTACAGATCACACACTCGCATGTGTGGAGAAAATATTATATAAATATTCAGGCAAGCTTTCCACACCTATTGGTGCAGATTACGGACTAACAAATTTATTAAAATTTTCGTTCGTTAGTATTTTACTTACCGTTTCTCCGGGTTTAAATCACTCAAGCACAATTCAACTTTCCTTATAATTACAAACAGCTTATTTATTTTGGAAGGTACAATAATTTATGAACAAACCAGGCCAGGTGTACAAAATTTACGTTTATACATCCGAGTTCCTTTTAGAATTTGTTTTGGTATCAAAAAATACAAAATTGTTAATTATAACAACATAATTATAATAATTAACAAAGTAATTAAATGTCAAGAGGTGTAAAAAGTTTCTTGTCGAGAACATAAGCTATCACTGTTCATCTAATATGTTACATGTATAGTAATAGCTTATGTTCTTCAAGTAGGTGTACTTATAACGAGGTCGTTGCTAAGAAATATTTTAAATTACGTTTTTTGAGAGTATCTAAGTAGAGAGTATATTAAGTTCAATCTTTATTTTATGTGAGAAGACGGCAAGTAAGCTGATGTAAAGTGATATCTGCCACCCATGGACATTGCAACACCCGTAGTGTTGCCACCTTTTAACAAAATGGGCCCGGCTACCTCACTCACCAGATGAAACGCAGAAGTATACCACGTCCACATCATGCCCATTTTCTCTGAGGTCATGGTACTTCCTCGGAAGTATCAGCCAATTCAAGCAACAGCAAACCGTCTGCTTGGACACTAACACTGTTAGGTGGATTAGGTTATCTAATCTATCTTTATATCCTGGAATTTTTCTCCGGAATCCAAGTATAGCACAAAAGGCACTTAAAAACATGAAACTGCTTCTGTAGCATCTCTGTTTGTATCATAGATGTTGATAATTACTTCATAACACTTCTTACTAACGGGAATTTGAGAGAAATTCTATCAGATTCTATGAAGGTTCGGCGATATATTTTATAAAAAATAGCAACCTGTTTTTGCTCAACAGGATATCTAATCAGAAATAAAAAATGCATCAAATATATTATTAAACCAACTGAGAATGTTTTAAAGTTATATAGTAATATAATAATAAAATAGTAGTATAATAATAAAGTAAAGGATAAGCCTATACATTTCCCACTGCTGGGCAAAGGCCTCCTCTGTACAGACTACGGATTGGTGAACTATTGAGGTAAAAATTTGATAATGAGAATTTTGATGGGGTAATAAATTTTCACATTCATTATATTATCTGTTTTATGTATAAGTTTTACTCATGTTATTTTAAGTAAAAATGGAAAGACACCGTCTTTATTTTTCACTTCTCATAACAATGTTTACTTTCTTCGACGAGCAAATCGTGAATTTTCATTTTAGAATAAAATTAACATAAATAGTTTGGACGATACCGTTTCAGCAAACCATTGGATTACGTGTCATTTTAATTTGAGCAGATCATGTTTTGACTGGAGTCTTATCGAGACAAAGCTTTATTAGACTCGATCGTAAATCTAGTGATAGTTTTTGGCGTCACATATTCTCTTCTTTTATCAGGAGACACATGGTATATTTTAATACCATAGTTATTCCCTATTGTATACTGTATTACTGTGGTTAGGGTAATGCAGCAGATTCTGCTGGTACACCAGGTTTATAATATCACCACCCGCAAAAGACGAGACTGTATTAAGAATATTATTAATTAAGTCTCTTGTATTGACCTTGGAAACAAGGTCCGTCACTTTAGCATCTACAACCCCATTGGTTATGTAGATATTCTCGCTCACTTACCACATTTTTACACGAAAAATGTTGTACCAAAGCATACCTCACGTTAGGATGTAGAGGAACAAAAATAGCAACTATTGATATCCTAATTAGGAAAAATATATCATTATTCTAATCTCCCTCATATCTTTACGACCTATAATAAAATTTGTATTTATATCACTGAGACCTATCAATATATATAGAGGCCTTCCCTTCGTAAATATCGCCCCTCACTGTAGTATAAATTTATCCTGCGTTATAAGGTACTTTTACATACATATATTTCGTGTGAAAAAGCATCCAGATCTGAAACAGTTATCATGGGGTCACGTGTTTCGTGTGTATTTCGTGTGGGAATCGAATCCTCGACCCCGGCCACCAAAGCCAAATACCTTGTCAACTGCATCGTGGAGTAATCGAAATAATTACGCAAACATGTAATTACGTAAAGTGTGAGTCAACGGTAAAAGTACTAAAACAACCTGTACCCGGCACCTCAACATGTCCTAAGCCAATATTCTTGGATGGAAGGACACTCGAGGAAGTCGTACTTTTTCAGCATCTCAGCAGTTTCATTCGCGACTATACAATGCTCGAAGCAAAAAAAAAACGAACCTTCAAACCTACAAACCTTCACGAAACACAAAAGCAACAGCATCGCTTAGAAAATTCCTCTTAATCTATACCTTTAAACAAGCACTTCTTGTGTATGTATATATATAATTAGAATCTCGGAAACCTCTCCAGCGATTTTCATGAAATTTAGTATGTGCGTAGATTTGGGGGCGAAAAATCGATCATCGTTTCATTCTTAGAAAATGTCCTTTTCTCCCTGTTTTCAGGGAATGAATAATATCATTCGAATATGACGGTAAATTTCGCCGAAAAAAAATGTTATAATAGCTCGGTTGGTAATCGGGCGGCCCCGAAACAGAAGACCGCGGTTCGAGTCACGACCATTTATACACTTGTTTTTGAATGGGGAGGTACGTCGGTGAAGTACCGCTGCATACAACGAGATGTATCTACTGCTGACATAAAGCGTCTTGTCACCTTTCACATGATAGGGTCAATACTTCGCACCAAGATGAAGGACCGAGTACCGAATGCACCGACCTTGTACGAAACAACCTTTGAGGCATAGAATGTTAGAGTGGAGAAGACCTCGCGAAATTGAGAAGAGAATGATTTGTTAATAAACCTGTGACATAGCTTGAGAGAACACGACGCCTACCTATTAAGAGGCGGTCAGTAGTATTTTGCGCCTGCAAAGGACCCTTTAAAATAAATAACGCTTTGCCACATTCTGAATTATAAACGTCGTACCGAAGGCCAGGCACACCGTTACTTTTCTTATTTTACAAGGAAATTAAGTATTAAGTAAATTAATAGTAATAATAATACTATAGTAACAGTATTGTTTCTATGAATTTTGTGTAGGTACCGGATAGAAGTAGAAAAGTAGTAATATCACTACAACATAAGGGTAACATATGCATATATTAGCAAATCTTTTATTTTAAATTTATGTTAATAATGAATACAAAGAAAACTTGCGTAAATCTTTACTCCTATGTGTTCTTTGTTTATTGTACGGTTGCTAATGAAGTCATATGTACAGTCGTACTAATACATAGACTAAATGGAGGAACAGAAATCAAGACACGTTCCCTACTTCCGAGAATTTCTTGCACACAGTGCAGAATTTTAATCAGTAATATTTTCCAAGTAACATAAAAAATTCGTTTCACCCCATTTCTTTAGATGGCTTTTAATATTTTATAAGATTAAATATCTGGGTCTAAAAAATAATATAATTTAAGAATATACTGTTCTCTAAAAACTTTCGTGAATTTAAGTATTAAAAAATCATCACTTAAAATACATATTTACTCCTAACCGACAAAGTCTACAGCTTTTAACGAATATTGTATGCAAGCTGCATAATATGGTTCGAGTTTTAATACATAATTAGATAAAGCCCTTTACTATGCGCGTTATATACTTTTCCTGTTTATATCAAGGTGACGTGTTATTTATAAGTGAAAAATTATTATTAAATTGATAAATGTTTAAAAAACTCAATAAAGCTCGAGTTCGCAAAAAAAGAAGAGCTTTCTTCAATTATAGGTCAGCGGCAATTTTAGGTTTTGTTTTACAATTAATAAATACCACATATCATATCCACTTTTAAAGGTTTTTCTAGTAGACAATTAATTCTTATTTCTAGTGAAAAATTAATTATGCATAACATAAAACCCTGTATCGTCCTCTAACGGCTTTGAAACTCATTGTAGTACTTACTTCGTTAGAACGTATGCGAGAAAAAGTTTGCTTAAGTTATATAGAGCGCAGAAATGAATTAATGGAATGGTGTTAGTCTGTAATTGGTCGAGAGTCTAATGATAACAATTTTGCCGCAGAGATGCCTAACGACGTTGGATCTAACATCCCTGGGAGTGGGATCTTGCGTCGGTACCGGGATGTACCTTGTAACTGGGATGGTGGCGCGCAAGTACGCTGGGCCCGCTGTGGCTCTGAGCTTTGTCATCGCAGCAATCGCCAGCCTCCTTTCCGGTAAGCATAGAATTTAAGCATTTACTCTTGCCATCGAAAATAATATGCAGAATCCAAGCAGTTTCTGTTTGCCACGTACATTAAAGTTTATTGTATCTTTCGCCTATTCCTTATATACTTATCTTACTGTGCCACTTTCTTTTTTAACATTGGTTTTAGTCTTTGTTTATTCATTATTACTTCAATAGCCAAAGATATTATACAAAATTTAGTCAAATCATTGATAAATAAAAATATTTAAATTTATAAAAGCGTGTCACCTAGAGTCTTAGAGTAACATGGCGTTCAAGAATAATGGCGAAGCTTTTGTAGTTTCTCTGAAGTTAAAATAATAAAAGCGAGGTATTTTTTTAAGATGGCTTACAGCATTTGACAGAACTGATTGTCAGAGACAATAACGAGCAACGCCAGGTTCTTTAGGGATCTGTACTTTCCACAACTCAGAAGTTTCTCCTTATCAGGGTTTTATTAATTTGCAGCAATTCTTTGTATTTCTGCAATAGTAAAAGTGAGGCTCTAGTGGATCAATGGTATCTCAAATTGAAGGTAGTCTCGGATCGAACGGCAAGAATTTTTTCTACGCTCAACGAGTAAAAGTGAATCCATGCAACTTTTCAACCGCCTTTCTGGATGTACTACATACATACCTCTGTAACATTAACGAGGGTCTACTGGCTGGGACGCCGTACTTCACGATCTAAGCGAGTTCGAATCTTAATGGTGTTAAGATCATTCGTGTAAAATTTCTTGCCTGCAAAATTTTAGATTTTTTTTTAATGTGAAATGTTGCCAAAAGACCAGACGGTTCACCTTACGGACCATGGACATCTGCTACACCCGAGGGTTACAGATTCGTTGACAACCTTTTGAAAAGTGGGCTCCGGCTACCTCACTCACCAGACGAAACGCGATACTTTGTCATACTTTCAATTTACGCTGGTCTTCTGTGATGTCGTGGTACTTACGAGGACGGGCCTGCCCATTCATGCAACAGCCGAGGCTGCTGCGTGGCCCTATCACCGTAAAGATTGCTTAACTGGTCCCACATTCTCCTCATTTATTTGGATAAATAATAAAGTAATATATTCGTGTTTTATAAACTGCTATCGATTCACCAATACGCTGATCCTTTGGTTTATCAAACAGATGACTGACCTTTTGCATGTTTCAGCATAATATAACGTGAAAACATTTATTGACTATTTTCTTTACAGAAGGGTTTTGAGAACAGATTTTTGGCTTTTACAGTATCGAAATATACTGAAACAGGCAACGTTCCTTTATTGATGAGTAACTTTTACGTTCAAAGTGAAAAGTAAAATAAAGCCGCCTGTTGGGTAAAGGCGTCCTCTGAAGATGAGAGCGATTTAGGGCATAGTCTACAAGGCGGCCCACTGAGGATTGGCAGACTTGACATATTTTCGAAATATATATATTTTTTATTCTTTCGACACTCTGCAGATTTCCTCGCGATGTTTTCCTTCACCGCTGAGCATGTGATAAGTCAGCACTTAAAGTTAAAAACTTCATTGGTGCCGGCACCGGGGATCGAACTCAGGTTGCTCGTTTAAAATTAACAACTTCATTTATGCCGGTACCGGGTACATTGAATTAAAAGCGATCGCACGGAGAATGAGCTATCACGGCTCTCACACAATAGATTAAGGTGGCATACGTTCAGTGTGTTTCACTTTAATCTATTTTGAAATAATCCATACTATACTAATATTATAAAGAAACTCTGTACGTCTGCCTCGCTTTCACTCCAATACTACTGAACTGATTTAAATGAAATTTGGTACACAAGTAGTCTAGAGCCTGAAAAAAGGGTTGAAATTGAAGCCCTTAAAAATAGGCTTCAACGCCAGCGAAGCCACAGGCGAAAAGCTGGTTGAGGAGAGACCACTATAAGTTAGGGTAAAAATAAGTCAGATTATTTGTAGTTGTATTGGGTGGAAACGTAAATTGCATCAAAATACGGCTTTCAAATATTTTCTTTTTACCTTTAACATATCATAGTATCGCGTGAGTAAAGCAATATATTTTACAAAATAAATATACAAATATATTTTTTTGGAATAAAATAAAGTAGAACGAAAATCAGTTTAATTTAAAAATTTATTTTAACAATTAAAAAGGGATAATTAACAGTTTTCTTTTAATTATTATTTAGGTAATCCACCTTGTATAACCTCCACGGGTCCTTTTTACTGCGGCTTGATTAGGGTTTTTAAAAGATCTTGGGGAATATTGTCTAATTTTTCTATTGCACATTGCTCTTCACTGCTGTCCAAATTAAAAGTTCACGTGCGAATCGTAAAAACAATCTAAAAAGTTTGTATGTTCAGTAAAAATATTCATTCGAGATATATCTTACATTTGATTTAGTTTATGGGTCCGTCAGGATGTATTAAATAATAAATAGCATTTAAACTTAAATCATTTATTCACTATGCCTATAAATTACATTCACATTATTAAAGAGACCGTAAGAAAGTTTTTAAGTTTATCGCAAACATTTGTATCGGGAAAAATGTAAAATAATTTTAGTAGTCAGAGAAATATAATAACGAGAAAACTGAATTAACACCTCGGTCGTCCTTTCTTTTCTCCTCCTTTTTTGCTCCATTGCGCTGCTTTCAAGACGTTAACTAGTTTTTCATAACTAGGTCTTATGCTTCGATGTTTTTCTTCCTCAGAACTATTCCTCTTCATTTACGATTCTTTTTTATTTAGAGAAAAACATAATAAACTGAAAAAACATTTTGAAGTAACAAATACGTCGGACATCGAACACAATGATATTGCAGCTGTTAATGCATTTTAAATAATATGAATCAATGGTAAGGTTCTCGAGTGGCAGCCTGGTCTTGAACATCACCGTGTAGGGTGTGTAGAAAGTCGATGGACGCAGGTGATTCGGGATCGTGTTTCATAGCAGTCTGCTTGGAAAGCAGTCAATTTTTAAAGCAGTGGACTATAAAAGTCTGAAAAGATGATGATGATGAATACTAAATGTTTTACTTATGTTTACTCACTTTTAAAGCAATAAAAATAAATAAATATAATTACTTAATAGCAAATATAAGTAATGACAGAAATAAGTAAGAAATTATTAAACACAAAACATTTCTGATCCTTATTCCATTAACAATGGAATAAGAACGAGAAATCTTCACTTTAAAGTATCACAATGGCAATAACCAAGGACAATTTGATCTGCATTTTATAGAGAATGTTTGATTTTGTGACATCAATCAGATTCCGTTCGCCTTTTGTGTCTCCATATCAAAGGACATGGTTGAATGCTTTTAGCTTCCAAGGTATTTCTATTTTTGTGGCAATAAAACATGATATCGTAATACTATAGAATAAAAGACATCTAGAATACGTTGTTTCAAAATTTTAAATTTTTCATCATTTATTAATTAAACACTTGATAAAAAAGTGATGACTTTTAGTTCTCCAACTTTAGCTGCAGGTATTCACTAGAATTCAAACATCGACTTGTTTGGTTTATGGCCTCTATGTTTTATGGCCGTTAATAAAAATTGATGGTAATGCTCTCAAGAATTTTCATCCAGAAAAACTAAAATAGATACCTAGATATAAAATCCAAAACAGTAATTAAAACGCCTCTCTTACGCTATGTTGCCAGACTTTCAGGAAAGAAACGGCTTCATTCTCAAAGGTTTCTATCTCATCAGTCCAGCGCTGGAGAAACTGATTGCAGAAATTAGTAGTACCCCCCCAGCAAAGTTCAGATCGTTGAACGCGCATGGTGGTATTTCATCATATAAGAAGGAGATTGGAGAGTCTTATTTATGGTCTAATTTTTTCTCACTTTGTAGTGATGAGCCGGGCAGAAATTCAACGGTTGAAAATAATTCGAATAATTGTTTTTTTTTTTTTTTTTTTTTCATTTTTATTCAGATAATTGGTTTTTAAAATTTCTTCTATCATCAGGCACTAGACCATCTAACAAGATTTATATTCAATAAACTCTCATGTTAGTTTTAAAATGTACCAATAATTATTTAAATTCACTTTCTTATAAGGGGTAAATTCCTTAGGTGCCTGTTATGCTGAATTTGGTGTAAGGGTCCCATACACCACCGGATCGGCCTACGTGTACTCATACGTGACGGTTGGAGAGTTTGTCGCCTTTGTGATTGGTTGGACCATGGTAATGGAATATATGGTGAGTTTGCTAATTGAAAATTTTATGTATTTTAATAAATTTCGGCAATTTTCGCAAATGGGAGACATGTTAGTTAAGCTTTCAAACAAGCAAAAGATAAATTCTGTGAAGGGAAAATAAAACAAACAATAAATTTTATTCTGAATACGTCTCGCACAATCAGCTAGTGTAACTAACTAAAATGGCGATGTTTTTTTTTTTCGCCCAGCCTAAATGTCGAAACGGACAGAACGTTTAAACGAACAGTGAGAATTGTACGCTACAGAATAGTTAAGTTTTTCTAACCGTTTTTTTGGTCAACAGATCGGTACGAGTGCGTGTGCTCGCGCTTTGAGTGCATGCTTTAACACCCTAAGCAATGGATCTATCGCAAACCACCTAGAGATCAATGTTGGAACCTTGTTTGGTGTGTACTCGATTGGAGTAGCTTTGCGTAATGAATCCAATTTTGCCACAGTGCGTTTTGGCGAACACACTCTGGCAAATTTGCAGTAATGCCTTGCTAATGAATAATATTAATAACTTTTTTACGCTAATCCCAGCCCACCGCTCATATTATAATTTGACATACAATATATACATAATTAGATATCATCAATTAGACAGCACACAAAAACCCAAAGGGGATGTTTGTTTCTCTAAATACGATATTATATCTAACACGCATGCATGTCGATGTTTCCTGGATTTAGGAAAACAAATGGATCCAACATTTTCTCTGAAACAGTTTTAGCCTACGTAAATGTATGCAAAATTCTACGGAAATAATTTTGAAGGTAAAGTTATGTCTCGTTACGATTTATCATTTAAATGAATTACTTCTCGAAAGAAATATAACTATTGTGTTAACCGTTTATTCGTTTTTATGATGATCGTGTAGTATTTTGTTTTTTATAAATTTCGACATATCAATTTATAAATAAGTCGCAAACATAGATGTTGTCAGTATATTCATAGCACAAACGTTCGTTTATCACTCGAAAAAATATGATTTAATGCTTTTGAAAATCTATCAGCGATTTTATAAGTAAAAGTAAAGTAAAGTAACAGCCTATACATGTCCCACAGCTGGGCAAAGGCCTCCTCTATACAGAGGGTATCAAGACACAGTCCACCTCGCGGCCTCACTACGATTTTTTTGGTTATTTTTTCGAAATTATGCAGGTTTCTTCACGATGTTTTCCTTCACCGCAGGGCACGTGATAAGTCAGCACTTAAAGTTAACAACTTCATTGGTGCTGGCACCGGGAATCGAACTCGGGTTGCTCGAATATATCGAATTAAAGGCTCATCTCGGCTCTATACGATTTTATAAGACTCGAAAAAAAAAAATTCATTTTCAACGTACATTTTCGTCTGGTAGTTGTAAAACTTACCTCATAGCTCATAAGAGTTCTCTTATACGCTAAAGCACCATAATCCCGCGCCAGCAGCCTTTGACGTGTTTGAGATCTGTTCACACCAACGTGTTCCGCGTAAATTGTTCTCCAAAGAACCCTTTGGCGCTCGTGAAATGTGTTGAATGTAATAATCGCGTTTAGATTTTAATTTTTAAAAAGAGCTATTTTACCTTAAATGAGCGTCTATTTAAAGGATATTCTGAATATTTTCACCCGGAAAACAATTTTGTTTTTAATATGTTAGTGAAAAACTTAACAATCAACTAATATATTCCTTCCTTTTAAATGTAATGATTAAATGATGACCCTAATGGCGTAGTTAGTACCTGTCACCTGCGTCGGAGGGTTTGGGTTCGATCCCCACTACTGGGAAAAATATTGTGTGATGAACATAGTGTTTTTCCAGTGTGTGGGTATTTATATATATATGTATTTATTTACAAAAGAAAAGTATGTTTCAGTATGTTTACCAGCTATCTAGTATCTATAGTACAAGCGTTACTTAGTTTGGGATTATTTTTTTTTTTTTATTAAATAAAACTTTAATACTCTTTTTATATATTTCTTATCACTGTAATTGAAAACCGTTTGCAATAACATGCGGTAATTTGGCGTAGAATTTCTGATAAATGCCCATAAGCCCGTCTTGGGAAAATTTTAATTAAAGTCTTTTATTTTATTTATTTTCTTATTTGATAAGTTAGCAAACGAGCTGGTGCTTCATGAAACTGACTTACTTAAGTGATTACGGCTGCCCATGGTCACCAACAACACTCCAATATAAAATTGTCACTTCAGGCCAGTCTTCATTGGATTCAAGGACATCACCGATAGTTCAGGTGCTTCTTGACCAAATGTAACATGTTTTTTAAAATTACAAAAATAAAATGAGAGAAACAGTTAATGATATATCTTGATCTCGAAATAGAAAATTCTAGAAAATAATAATACAAATGCTGCACTTTAATAGGTCAAGAAATAGCTTGTAGTTCTCGGTAAGGTGCAGTGGAGCTCAATTGTAGACTACGACATTGCTCTTTTATAACCGCCTTTTTGGTCTCAAGTGGACAAGCAACCCTTAACAGAATGATTTTATCTCGTGACTCTATTTTACTAATTCTACTCGTATGTATTGATATACATTATTATATACGCGTGTGTATATGGATTACATTACTGTTATCTCATACCTATTACACAAGTAAACATCAGGTAATGGTAGAAAATCTCTAATGTTATTCAATATAAATAAATATATATATATATAATAAATATTTAACTGTTTCAATATACTTCATTATTTTATAAAAAAATCTCCTTGAGTTGTTCGAAGGAGACCCTTAAATTATGAATAATTAGTACATAATTATTCATAATTAACCAAACCTTAAAGAGGTTTAGGATAATTTCGGAATACATTCACAAAGTGTGCTGGTTTTCACACACAACAGACGTTTTGAAGACTTTCGACATTATTATTTGTAAGTTTCGACGATTTTTACAACGGCCATTTAGTAGGGAACGAATTAAAATATTCTAACACTACTACAAAAATGCGATTGAGGATGACATGACACTTCTTGTCACTTAGCACTCGCTCTTTGTTTTGTAGGCTTATAACAATAAAAAACCGAATTCAATTAAAATGTCTATTAGTATCTTCGTGGTGGTCCCCATTTCTGCTACTAACTCCCTCTGACAGTGTAATTTAACGTATTCCAGAGACACGTTAGAATTCATAGTACTTAACTTAATAACCGTACATAAATCTTCTCTTCATTTCTCAGACAGATATTTTCAGAGGCATACAATCGCTAAATACTAGTGACTTGGTTTGCTCTAGTGCAAATGGTAGCAAAGGCTCTGAGATTGAGAAAATAAAACTCCGGCTTGAATTTATCAGAATTCAACGGCTGTTTCATTTGAATTTAAAATATTGATCAACATCCCTGTCAATCCTATTCTGCAGTGGTTGTTGAAGAGGTCTTTGAACTATATCGTGTCATAGAATACGTGTGTAACTTTCCTAAAGTTCCTTCAAGAGTAAATTAAAGATACGTATGAATGTTAATTTTTAGTGGAGAAAAAACACGAACAACTGTCTACTACTATGTGTGGTGGACAATAAAGTATTCATTCATTCATTCATTCCTTTTCAATGAATCGTATCCCTTTTTGTTAAAAAATGTGCAGATGAAACTTTTTTCAACCAAAATTTGAAGCCACGCCTTTTGGCTTTCGGGTCTCAGACGCTCAAAACATTAACCTTGACATATTCAGGGGCCGAAAATCTTGGCATCATTGAAAGCGATTTCTTTACAGCAATCATACTTTAATTTTGTCTGAGACTGCCACTAAAATTAAAAAATATCTTTTTATTTTTATATTCTGTTAGAATTTTATTTCAAAGCGCGAAATTTCGATTTAATTTTTTTGGAAATAAAGCAGTTTGTAAGTAATTTGTTTTGTAATTACGTTACTGGCACGTATCTAAGTAAATATAAATGAAAAAGTAAAATAATGAGAGTGGAAAATGCTAACACGTTCATTGACTATACCGCTGTTAGTCATGTGTTATGTTTGACTTTAAAATCTGTGGGATTTAACAAAGATTACGAAAAAGAATAATCCCCCTCTTCATTTGAAGGTGGGAGTCTATTTTAATGTTTTTTTAATATATATGTGTGTGTATGTGTGAATAATATTTATTCTCCTTATGGAGATCGGCAACAAAAAGTGAAAAGGCTACATAATTTTCGTATTTAATAAATGGTAATTATTATTTATATTATGTACTTGTGCGTTGTACCCTCGAAATCTAATACCGTTGTAACAACAATCGCTAACAAATATTCCAGAATACAGAAGAGCGCGTAACCAACTTTTCCGTAACACAAATACTTTTGTAAAACTAAACTACGCCTTTGTTAACTACAAACTTAACCTAACCTGTGTCGGCGAGTTGACCATGAATTAGCCAACAATAGTGTACCATATTATATCTGGTAATCTTTTTCCCAAAATTGTTTTGAATATCGTACCTACATTCGTTACAAGTTAAAATATTTATTTTCGCTTATTACATCAATATCACTGACAGATGTACATAATGTTGATAAGTACGTTAAAACGTAAGAGTAGTTGATAATTATGTAAGAAAACCTCATTATAAAGGTAAATATAAATAAATGACATTGGGACTCTTTTGCTTGTTACATCCATCACCATTGCACCTGAAGCATATTTTGGAGCATGTTACATCCTACATGTAACATGCTCCAAAACATTTGATTAAATGTAAATATGTTCTTTTTAATATTCTTTTCAAGTTTCGGTATAGTAAACAAAACGTCTGGACCGACTTTACATGGCTTTTTTCATAAAAATTAATAGAGAGCAATATAGGATTTTTTCACCTGACCTGGCTTCAAGAACAATGAACGTACCATTCTTACTCATCTATTATATATTTATATCGATTATTATATCGATTTACACAATTAGTAATTATTTATATTTATTTCAATTCAGAGATTAATTAAAGATGTTACGGAAATTGAATCCGGTGAGTGCGTCATGTTAAAAGACGCTGACGTAAGCTATTTATAAGAAATTGAAAAATTATATGTTTTTTTATTTTATGACGGATAGAAAACCTTTTAAACAATTTCATGCACTGTTTGGTTATACGAGACGAAAATTAATGTTTATCGATTTAGTTAAGAAGATTAAAATAAGTTACATAATGTTTGATTTGATCGTATAAATGATCGTAAAAACCTTTATATAAATCTATTAGGATAAACTTAAAAATAATGTGAGTGATGGGCTGGTTCGTAACTAAAGTGTGAAACTGTGACAGGCAAACAAATTATCGTCTCAAATTATCTTCACAGGAAAACCACCCGACTTCGTTGCTTTCGGTATCACGATTTTTATGACCATGATCTTGGTTGGAGGCGTAAGGAAATCCCTTTTCTTCAATAACGTTCTGAACGCGATTAACCTAAGCGTGTGGGTGTTCATTGTGACTGCCGGGCTCTTTTACGTAGACTTGAATAATTGGACGGAGCACAAGGGATTCTTGCCCTACGGCTGGAACGGAGTAAGTGATAAATATTAGCATAATAATTTATTCATAGTTAACATCACTCAATAAGTTCGAAAGAAAATTGAAAAGGACTATTTATATACTGAATTAAACTTTATTCATCAACATAGTGATGAAAAAGTGCACTTTAAAAATACCACGCTTTTCTAACATTAAATGCTAACACGCTTTTCTAATTAACAATAACAAGAACCTGTGACCGCCACACCTACGTTATTTTATTAAAGCTGATAGTTTCTCAACTTATTCCCAACACAGGTTAGAACGGTGGCCAACTATAAAGTTTAGATTATAGATACGCGCCACTTTTTGCACACGCGAATATCCTTAATCTCTTCCCTATGAACATTTTACTGGCAAAATTTGCTAGCAAATAGACACTAGGCGCTTAATATGGAGAATGCGGTTGATGCAACAGCAAATCGACATACAATCCGTGTAATTTTGTTGTTGTTGCTGACAGCCTGCGGTGTATTGTGGGGCGAAATAGCACTTTTTGTTTTCCATTTGGTGGCCGTGTTTTTTTATATCTCACCCTTCAATCGCACACGTATTTTGCAATATAAAGTATTGTGACTATTGGGAATTATGCAATGGAAATTTTCCTTTTTTTCTATCTAAAGCAATGACGTTTCTAGCGCTTTAAATGTTACTTAAGCTCACCACTGCAACGTGTCCTAATTAATTCGGAATGTCAAAAAATTTTGACACATACAATAAAATTTATGCCATTTAAAAGTTTGTATGTGAGTGCTATTCAAATGTTTATTCTACTTGTCATTTTGCGAACTTATTGAGTGGTGTAATTGTTATACATATTTTGTTGATTGCTGTAAAAAAATAGACGTATTTCAAACATCAAGCATAATAGTACGTAAACCCTTTGTTGGTTATTCTTAGATTTTTAACGTTGGCATCTAATAATGTAAGAAACAGATTTTTTTTCGGGTGTAACTATGTCTTATTGCAACTTTGATTCGCACTTGACAGGTGTTTAGCGGCGCTGCAACTTGTTTCTACGCGTTTATTGGTTTCGACATCATTGCCACGACCGGAGAGGAGGCGAACAATCCGAAAAGGTCAATCCCACTAGCGATCGTCCTCAGTCTGGGCATCATTTTGCTTGCATACGTCAGCAGCTCCCTCGTGCTTACTTTAATAGGTTAGTTAGTGTTATCGGTATTATGCTCTACTGTCATGTTTATTTGTCAAGGAAATCGAATAAGTTTCTTAAAACGGAGTAAATCATTGAAGACAAACGCGGAAACTTACTTTCCCGTGTTGTCGTTATTATAATTCTTTCCTTTGTATAAAACACTACACTCTTTAGTTAAACCCAACTTATTTATGGATTTTGTCACGTCTGAACTTAATCCAATGCATTTGTATTTGCGAATACTTTGCAGCATCCACGGTCAACGGACATAGCATGATTATAGATCGTAGGTAAATTATTTTTAGTTGAAACATTTACGATTAGTTACTAATTTCTATATATTTCTATAACTAGAGAGCTCATATAATTACAAATACTTTTAGCCATTACACTTCAATACAACTTCGTGACGCCTTCGCATTCGTTTTCGAAATTGTTCATCAATTTTATAAACCTTTTATATTTTTATTTAAATTTTACAAAAGTAGGGTATTCAGAGCATTATAGTGCGCTTTCGTAACAGCTCCACTCATTTTATGCCGTTCTTTCGGCGCGCCACTCAACTTAACTGGCGTTGCTCTTAAAAACTCACCTGTGGCTTCTCTATCTACCTGTCCATACGAGTTCAACGCCTGAATGAATTTACAGTGAGCTCTTCACAAAGAGAGTGGATTTAACAAAAAAACACAGCGCTTTTTTTCTATCAACGCTTCCTTTATATTTTACCAATGCCATTGATTGTATTTAAGTATTGTATTTACTGTTATAAGGTATTACTTTATTCTTCTTATTTCTATTAACTATATATAATATAATACATCCTATTAACTACAGTAAATTAAATTGATTACCAAGGTTCGATGAATGACTTGTTTGGTTCTGCTATATATGTACGCTACTTTACGTACATCATCCGTATAATACGACAAGCTATAGAAATCAGAATGGAAACCTGCGTTTGTTACGAAACGTCGGGTATTAAAGTTTTTGAGCTTCGTGACAGCGTAGATTTATTGCTGTCAAGTTTTCGAACGGCGAATTTTGACGCAGGCCTTGTCGCGTGCATGCAATAAATCGATGTTTCCTGGTGCAGTGCCGTACGAAAGTGTGGACCCCGATTCGGCGCTCGTGCAGATGTTCGACTACGTCCAGGCCCCGACGTGCAAATACATAGTCGCCGCGGGGGCTGTGGCCGGACTGTTGGTCTCTTTGTTCGGTTCCATGTTCCCCATGCCGCGCGTCATCTACGCTATGGCCCAAGACGGACTCATTTACCGGTAAGCTCCGACTGTCGCAGTTTGCGTTTTATGACCAGAATCTTTGTTACTTCAACTCTTAACTCGACGACCGTGCATATGAATTTCACCAATATTAAAAGTTATTCACAGCTGTTTATAAAATCATAGGTACTGTTCTGAAACCTTACGAGCTAAATACTTTAAATAAAAATCAAAAGTCTCATTAATAATCTCTTTTGAAATGCTTGAATACCGTGTATGACTTTGGTGTTATATATGACTAGACCTCTTGGATCAATATCGGACGACAACGGTGCCCCTGCATTTGCCACTATTGTTGGTGGCATAGCGGCCTCTTTGATATCGCTTGTGGTACAGCTGGAAGTCCTCGTTGAAATGATGAGCATTGGTAAGTAAGCATAGTACTAGTACCTGGAGGACCGGAGGTTTTTTTTTTGGTATTTCGTGTATTTTGGAAATTACCTTAACATACAAATTACTGAGTAATGAAATATGCATAATATTTTTCGATCTTACCGACGTAATAATAAGAAAATATTAACTGGTTTTTTTCACAAAAGAAAGAACTTTAAAAAAAGGGAAAAAATAACAAAATAAGAAATCGAGAAAAATTAAAGAAAGCAATGATCTGGAAACGAAAAAAAGTAAAAAAATAAGCGTGTAAATGATCGTGATACGAACCGCGGCCGTCTGTTTTGGGGCGGCCCGATAACCGACCGAGCTATTATAACATTTTATTTGTGGCGAAATTTACCCTCATATTCGAATGATATTTTTCATTCCCTGAAAACAGGGATAAAAGAACATTTTCTAAAAATGAAACCTAGCTAGATCGATTTTTCGCCCCCGAATCTACGCACATACTAAATTTCATGATAACATATATATGTATATACAAGAATTGCTCGTTTAAGGGATAAGATAATAGTAACGTCTATATGTCCCTCTGTTGGTTAAAGGCCTCCCTACGTAGAGCGTATTAGGGCATAGTCCACCACGCGACCCCACGGCTGATTGGTGCACTTTACATATCTTCGAAATATTGTTTTGTTATTATTTCAAAAATATTAGCCATTTTTTCTCAAGATGTCTTCCTTCACCGCTGAGCTTATAGTAAACCACATTATGCGTTAGGCCCAAATTGCAATTTATTGAACTAACGGATATTACATAACCACGGAAGCTGATTGGTCATTTTGAACAATTAGCTTTGACATGTCATGAGTATCTTATTTCCCATTATGATGGGTAAACGGCAGCCACAAAGCGAGGGTCAGCTAGGTTAACGGCGTTCGAGACGGGAAATCGAATCTTAATTGACAATGTTGTAGTTTCAATTTGCGAATGTAACTATTATACACATGTTAGACTATCGTGTCAATGAAATGGCGTAGGTTCTGATTAGTGTTATTCTAGGCGACATTTAAATCGATATACGTTGGTGGTAATTTGTTAAAGATAAATCAGGTCCTAACAGTTTATTGAAATATAAAAGTTAAATAGACTTAACCGACAAATGGTTCCGTACCGAAAATAATGCACTGAATTTTCATTGTTAATTTTAACTTGCATATTTTAGTTTCACCTATTACTGAGTTTACAAAAATACTTGTTGATTCCCGCTCAAATGTTTTCGATGCTAAAATTTCTTAATAATACCCGTAACAATTACTTCAAAAAATTACTTTATTTTGAACATACATACATATTTATAATAGCTGACAATTAGTACTTTAATTACGTGGTAAACGTAAAATATGATTGCGTATATACATATCGAGCCCATACATTTTAGTCAGGTTTAATGTCAACAAATTCAAATGACAATGATTTACGTATACCTATTTACGATCCGAAGTTATGCTCCGTCGGCTAGCTGAGGCGCCAATGTTGGTAAAACCAAACTTCGTTGGTTGAAATTACATACAAGAATAATAATGTTGTGTTGACTTATTCTTTATTAACTCACTTCATTCTCTTTCTCTGTTCAAGCGTATGGTCTTGGTAGTAAACATTTAAATCTTATATATAAAACTCTCGTGTCACGGTGTTTGTAATTGAACTCCTCCGAAACGGCTCTACCTATGTATGTGCATATCGGCCAGGGTGGAGAATCGGACAAAATCTATTTTTCATCCCCCCTAATGTTAAGGGTGGTCCACCCCAAACATTTTTTTCTACCCTAAAAATAATTTAAATTACAAAACAACGTTTGCCGGGTCAGCTAGTTATAATATAAATTTACGAGGCTTCATTAAATTTCACAAACAATAGCAGCTTATTTTGAACAAGTTAAATGACTGATACGGAAAGCTGTTCTATTTCAACATTCGAGAGTATTGCCTAACTGTGGTAATCAAATCAGCCTCTAATGCACGAATGGCTCACACAGTATCGTTCGGGGAAGTACCGCAGCCTCAAAGAAGATCAACGTGAAGCAGAACATGTACCACTTTAGCGTTTCTTCCGATGAGTGAGGTTACCAGTATTTTAAAGGCTGGCAGCACTTCAAATGAAAATCCTTGAGGATTTTAAATGCGTATGCAATAAAAGCTTAATATAAATAAATAACAAAAACTTATATAGTAGTGCATTTGTAGTTATTGTTAAGTTACTTCCAGTGCTGTTTATTTTCAGGGCACCTCTCAAGGCTCCCTAGATTTAAACTCACTGAACAACAGTGGACGCTGCAGTAACAGTTTGTTGGATAAACATTCCACAAAATTGCTCGTAACGGATCAAGCCGCAGACACGGATTTAACGCGTTATTATATTGTCAACTCAACTTAAGCCGCGCGCTTGATTGCTACCCGAATTGACTTTAAAATAATTTCCGATTATTAAGATGATCATTCTGATCAATTCAGAGAGTTTAACCATCCTTTTGGCAACTCAAATGACATTTGAAGAGCCATTTGACAGCTGATTAGTTAATTTCTACGATTATCATTGTTTCAGAAACGGGCTTGAGTGTCTTAAATCCTTTTATAATATTTTTCTTTACACCGCACTACAACAATTTTATATTGGAACGAAGTTCCTTATCGCGCGTTGTGAAAGGGGGTTAGACGGAAAAAATTCTCACGAAAAGTTGTAACGACACTTTTTGCTATAGTAAGCTATTGTAAGCTGTGCGGCGTGTGCATGTTTCTCTGTCTGTTGTTTGTCTGTCAGACAGACAAACATGACAGTTTCTAGAGGAAGAATGTGATTTAAGAATTAACAATAATCCAGCAGAATCAACAACAAAACATAATACTACCATTGATGCAGTTTTTGCAAGACATTTAAATAAAATGTTTCCTAATTCAGTTACCACAAGCCACTTATTACTAAAATTGAGCCTACTGATTAAGTTTATATTACAGTATATTTGTTAATAATAAAAAAAAAATTATTATAACTTAAAAAAAAAATTATGACAATTCCTTCACTAATTAATCGAAAGGAACTTCGTTCCGGGTGTCCCTTGACACCTCTCAATGTTTTTTTTTTCATTGGATCGGCTTTTAAAATTAGGAGTTAACTACAATGCTGCTTTGAATGTTTTCTCATGTTCTCGGAATAGAAAAGATATATATAATATGTATATTATAAATATATTCTACCTCGTTATGCTTAAGGCAACTTTATTCGCTTACTTTCATGAAAACTCATACTAGGTATTACAACAATGATCAAACGAAGTTCGGCATCTAGTTGTTTCGTAACAATCTACTATTTATAGTAAAATTTTGAAGCTTTTGTGATCTTATTTTATAAGAAAATAACAAAAGAAAGTTTTGCAACAAAAGCTTTTCATAGACTTTTCTTTACGATTTTAATAACAAAAGGCTTTACCGTAATGTACTATCCTTAACTTAGTCGGCTCTTTAATCTATAAAGCAGGTATCGATTATTGATTTATTTTGTTTAAAAATAAAATCGATAAAAAAAAGGTTAAGTAGCTAAATAGTTTTGTCTTTTCGTAAAAAAATTATATTATTTTTATCCTTATCACTCCTCACTTTGATGTTCTATGAAACCAAAATCAAATTTATATTTAGACGTTGCTCTAAGCACAAAGTTTTTTCCAACATGGCAGACTTTTCTTTTAAATAATTTAGTTTTTTCAAGTAATCTACTAGCCAAATTGACTACTAGCCAGGTTGACATGAAACAAGCTATTGAATGGCATTAAACTTAGCTGACGCTGGAAAGCCCTAGTTAAGCGGAACAGCTCTAAGCCTTAAACGGTCTACCTACTGAAACATAAAAAAAACATTTAATATCATAAATCAGCGTCATCCTGGTGACATCCCTATGTTGTCATTTATTGAAATAGAATGTAAAATTTAATTTAATATAATATGGAACTTTGCTTATTCAGTATTCCTGAGGAATGTTTTATACTTAATAGTATTTTATATTTTTGTTCAATCTGGCAAGAGTCGCCATCAGACAGTGAAATATGTTCTGTCGTGAATTGTATATAGAGATTGTTTTTTTTTTGTACATGATTGATTTGTAATTGTATATAATGAATGTGTATTCTCCAGGAACTCTGCTTGCTTACACCCTAGTCGCTACATGCGTGCTAGTGTTGAGATATCAACCAAATTCCTTAAACCTAATTGAGCTATTACCACAAAATGTTCGAACACCCGCTGACCCCGAAGCTGGCACCTCCACACAAAGGGTCACTGGATTTTCGGTAAGTTCCGTTTACAATTTTTTAGCAAACATCATATGCTGCTAAAAATAAACATTTAGCTCAAACAAATGTAAACATACCATATTTTTAATGGAGGCCATACAAAATAAAAATTTTGCGAGCATTTGAGCCAAGTTTCTATAAATGAAAACAGTATAAACTAAAAATAAATTGTTACCTCAATTAAATGTGCCCCTACCATATTTATAATGGAGGCCATACAAAATAAAACTGTTGCGAGCGTTAAGAAGTTTCTATAAAAGAACAGAAACATAAAATTTTCAGTTTCGACTTTAAAATTAAAATCAAACACTTCAGAAATCCAAACAAGTTTATTTCAGGTTCAGTTATGATTTCACAATAAGAAAGCGTTTACAAATATTGGGAGGCCTTATTCAGTAGCGTACCGCGGCTTTTTCTTGGTGTTTTATATTTCAGGCTCATTGCGAATTGAGTCGTATTTACGGAACAATAAATCCGCTTGTTTCAGGTGACCTCTCAGACGCAGATCTTGCCGCCGAACCAACGTGTGATGGTTCGCCGCGTCACGCGAAGGTAACGCGATATTAAGAGTTAGAGCTGAGCGAGCTTGCGACTTCGTATAAGTTTGCAATGCGAGAGGCCGGCCGAGTGTTTCTAAATTCTTTTGTTGTATTTGTTTTGTGTTGTTCTCTGAGCCTAAGATGATTCTTAGTGCAAGCTTGATTAGCTAAGCGCTTTAGTGTGTCCACAGCTCCCCGGATTCCGATGACACCCTGCCCGGCGATGAGAGTGAGGATTACGGCAGAGACGATACCTTCCTCATGAATCCTCACACTGAGAACAAGTTTTATGGTAAGTTACAAAACTAATTTATCTCGTATTTGCCCCATTGCCACTCTGATGCAATTCTATATAAAATTAGTGTCTAAAAAGATTTTCATGCATTATTGGCATTGACAAGTATGAAATAATTGAATATACATTAATTAGGTTTATTAACTACAAAGCAAATGACTTTTGAATATTTTATTTTACCTATTATCGAGGACATTATTACTAGAAAAAGGTTAATTATTTTTTTGAACATTATCAAAGCATGCGCATAAAAGTTAATTGCTTTTTAGAACTTTTTAAAATATTACCCTTTAGCGAGGACAATTACAAAGTTTTTATTTGAGCCATAACATTTTACATATACGTGGAGATTATATTCATTACGTTTACAACGTTAAATCAATTATGTAATAGAGAAATACCTATTATTATTTAAAAATAAATACTATTTATATACAATTCAATTCTGAACAATATTCAGAGGAAAGACTCACCCGTTATCTAAGTAATGTGATTTTTTTTTTCGCTTCTCAAGGGGCAGTTCCTGGTGGATCTGTTGGTTACTCGCGTTGCAGACGCTTCTTTGAAGCTCTGTGCCGTCATATTCATTCTATGTCCTACCTGTGCCCGTGGCTACTGCCATGGGTCGACCGCGGCCCAGCTACTGCAGCCAGTGGTAAGCAATGCAATACACACATCAGAAGTAAAGGGTGCCTACATTTTTCATTGATTCGACAGTATAATATCTGTAACACAAGTTATTCCTGTAAAGTACAACTTCGGTCACCTATTTCTAAGCACTGTACCGGCTCTTGTCACCGGACTTGATAAGTCTAGGTAGTAACAAATGCTTACCTATTTTTGTATAATTAGGTATAGACTCAAGAAGAAACATTTTCAGGACTGTACGTGATCAAGTTGGTTGGTCTAATGTATGTTTTGGTGATAATATTCGACATTTTCGCCGCTTACGGTGACTTTACAACGTCCACCTTTACCGCCGTCGTGATGTGTCTGTTATTACTGGGTATCTTTACTATCTTGTTGCTGATCTCGAAGAAACCGCAAAACCGGTAAGAAAATGTCTATAATAATTATCTCTTGCAGGTTTATTTTAACAATGATTTATATTATTGTTCTGATTAAACATATTCCTTATGACATATTTTCTTGATAACGGTTATGGTATTATGGTGCTGCTTAATTGCTTTAGTTAAAATATTAACTGCCAGTTATGAAACATTGGAAATAACTAATTGAGATTAAATTTTATACACGTTTAGGCAAGTTTCGCAGCGTTTTCTCTTATTTTATTTGAAAGTATTTAAATTATTTCCAAAAAATCTGTGATAAAATAAAGCTTATTTAGCTTTGCATCAGTGTAAACCCTTTTAGAAACGGTTCACTAAATTTAAAAAAGTAATGTTGCTTTTTGTTATATCAGTGTGTTAATTTGTATAATTATTTCAGGACTGGGCTTATGTATATTTGCCCTGCTGTGCCCTTCACGCCGGGACTCGCAATCCTCATTAATGTGTATCTGATTCTTAATCTGTCCTTCTTGACTTTGGTCCGTTTCGCTGCTTGGATGATCTTGGGTAAGTAAGGCTTACTAAGACTTACGTATTTAGCTGCCTAATAATATGCTCTAATTTAATCAAATAATATTCATGCCTCTCAAATTTTCATCATTTTATTTAATCTATATATAATGTAATATGGAATTCACTGATTTTGTTGTTATAATTCTTTTTGTGCGTTCCTGCACACCCACAGTCAGAATGCGACATACAAAACGACCAACTTTGATGGTATTACCATGGAAAACAATAACCTCTCCTTGACATTTACCTATAATAACAAGTTATTATTATCTATATATTATTTTTATGTACATATTAATATACGTGAAGCAAAAACTTTGTACTCCATTATACGAAAATTTCGCGGACGGAGGAGTATGAAATTACACACGCTTATATTTTATAATATGGAGTGCAGAATGCTAATATTCTTTTTTTATTTATGAAAAAAAAAATACATTAAAGCAATGAAAACATTACAAAGAATACTATGTATTTGACACACACAGGCATTATACCCCTTTATTTATATTTTATAGCATTTGAGAATTTTTACATAATTTGTCCTCCAAATTACATCTATTTAACGCATAAAATATTGATTAAACATTGAAATATCAAAATAAATTAACAGTTCGCTTTTACTTGTTGCTACTTTATCATAAATTCTTAAATGTATTTTTTACAAATTAATATTTAATCTCTAAGATGTATAAAACATAATATATCGAGACTGTTTTAGGTTTGATTGTGTACTTCAAATATGGCATCAAGAATTCAACACTGGAAATAAGTCCACCAGCACGTCAGGTTACACCTCCACCTCCTAACCCTCTAGAACGGACCACAATACCTCCACCTGCTAGTCAACCACTTCCCATTGGAGATCGCAATATTTTCGAAGGAGATGGAAACAACCGAATGTTTGGTTCCTACGAGTAAGTTTATTACTTTTTATTTCAGAAGATATGAAATAGGAGAAGAGCATTATAAAAATTTAAATAAAGGTCTTAATGCGTTACAGTGGCCGCGAATTGTACATTAATGAGAACTCCATATTTATATATACCGGTATTTTATTAAGTGAAAATGTCTTCAGAAACTGATTATAAATCAGAAACTGAGTTTAGGTGCAGTCATGTATCGTATCGTGACAACAGGATTATGTAGAACTTATGATAGTCGCAATAATTTATGGCGGATTTTTTCTTTTAGTATCTTCTGACCACATTTACTAATACATTACACTAATAAATAATACATTAGCTAACCACAAAAGCAATGGGTACTACTCGTGCTATCAGCTTAAAATTCTTTAATCAATAATCTGCGTAGCTCAGACAAATTAATAATGTTAAAACTGACGGTAGCCCAGGCTAACTATGATATTCAAACGTCCAATGCTTCGATCTGTCCCGTGACACGTTGGGAAACCTGAAACGTTGGGAAATACAATTAAAAACAAAACGCGATAAATCCGTAAATACATTTGCATTGTATACTATTAGTGAATATTATAAATTGAACAAAAAATCCGTTTTGCATAAGTGTGTAGCTCTTAATGGTACTTTCAATTACTTACACATCTTTATTTCATAGGATTTTCGAAATAAACCTGTGGCTAACGGAGCCGCATATTCTCGAAATCTTTTCAATCGTTTTTTAAGAACCGTCACGACGCTTGTTACTTAGTTAACCTTTCGCAGCTACTCGGCCCCGGTGCTCACTTGGCACGTAACTGAAATGGAACCCCTTCCGTCTCACAGCGGTGGAAGCTCCAACAGCAATACCTTCAAGCAAGTGGAAACTCGGTGAGTTCATATTTACTAGCTTCCGTCATTAAGCTTCGCGCGAAGAGCTTCGTGAGTTGTCAAAATCAAAATGGTTTAGTTTTAAAAATGTTGGGATTACATTAATGTAGAATTTTTCTTAATAGTTACGACATGGAAACTAACAGTACATCATCGCACACGTCGAGCCGTCCGCCGTGGGCCTACCCTGACGCCATATATGGCAACTGGGAAGACTAGAGAATTAACTATCTCTCAAACCTCGAGATAGAAGTCCGGGACTGCAATATTTTCGCTTTATTTCGAACCGGTATTTTATTTTAGTCAGAGTGATTTGATTTAACGTTCTTTTGATATTATAACGCATATCACATATTGCAAGGTAAGTTACGTTTATTGGTTTCACGTTTATTGGTTTCATTTCATTATATTTTTTCTGCGGTCTCTTTTATATAACAAGTTTCAAGTTCTACTTTATTTCTTCTAAGTTTGATTGTTTAGTTCACTCTTCAAGTTCTATACGTTTTTATTGCGTTTTATATTATTATAATACGTAATCGTTTTATTACTAACTTCTCTTTTACATTTTTGTGGACTTATACAATGTTATTGAAATTTAAATTTAAAGGCTTATGTAAACATATCAAAAAAGTTTTCACTATAAAAAAATTTGGAATAGTTTACGTGATACCGTGTCACATCTTAATAAATGTGGATATAACTTAGTTTTTAATTTTTAAAAATATGTAAAATATTTTAATTTTTTGACTTGAAATTTTCTACTGGACGCCGATATTAAAAATTAAGATGTTTATAGTTTCAAATTCTTTACAATAATTCGAGTACAATTTGTTAATTTGTTGCGGCTTTTGACTTGTAACGAAGCAACATAGTTTTATTCCTCTAGTTTTTTTATTTTAATTAAAATTCATTAAAACCAGCGACTGGTTTAGTCGCTGACGACATCAATCACGACTAATTATTAAATAAGAAAAATTTATTATACCCAATTTCTTTACAAATTCGCGTTAATCTACCACCTTATTTAATAAAATTAGTACAATGTTAGTTTTCCCGTTTATTTTTAAAATTTAAAATTCTTTAGGAGTTTTTTTATAAATGTGATATTTTAAGTAATATGCTATTTGTAAACCTTTACAAATGCTAAAAAAATTTTTGAGCTGTCCTGATTAATGCATACGCTCTTAGAAAATGTAAGCTAAATTGGTAATGTAAGCTTCAAACAGAATAGAATATCAGTGTGTATTTATCGTCAAGTAGAAACATGAAGTTGATTTCTAAGGTTTTTTTGTCAATTCGTCCCAAATTAGTATAGTGTTGATGTATCTGAATTTCAATTCAACATGCATAGAATAGGGTTGCACTACACGTAAAAATTTATATCTGGCCATTTCGTACCATCAGCAACGACTACAAAAATGCTTTGATAGAACTAAAGATGAAATTCTGATTAATTTCCTCTCGCGGCCTATGCCTGAATCATTACTATTAAAGGAAACAATGTAATTGGCTCGTGTAATCTATATTTGTTCGTGTAACATTAATTGTTAATCTATATTCGTGTAGCATTTTTATTTTAAAAAATTGGAAAAATTTGCCCAAAAAAGTTGTTGATGTTTGTTATTAAAGTAGTGGAATAAATGTTTAGTGAGGTAAGGATTTTAAATAAGCGAAACCATTAGTATTAAGACAGAATTTATTCAGAAATATAATTCTCAACAAAATTACTTTTTTCCAATAAGTCCCAATAGTTAGTTTTCTTAAGTTTTCGTAAAGGTCAGAGTGAGGGTCTTATAGCAGTGTAATGGGAACGATAGTCAGACACTGGCTATAGTTCTGGTGGAGCGTGGAGGTGTGAGTTTTATTTAACTTCGTATGATTATCCACGTGATATTTATTTCAGTGTGTGGTGTTTTTCTAGTCTATTTTCTTTGATGTTTGATCTCATTCAGGAATGGAATATTTTGGCGCGATATTTATGATTATTTAAACTTCGAGTGTTTTTTAATAATAAAATAATCTTTAACCTACATAATTATTAAGGTAATAAGATAATGTACTTATCCGTATTGTAATCGAGTAAATAATATTCATGTATTTAACCAGTTATCTATTCGTAACGAATTCATGTTATAGTCTTCTATAAGTTTTAATTAACTCATGATTGTTTAATCTACATTTGGTGTAATGTATTTTTTTATAAACCTCCAATTTCTAATGTTAATTTTGTAATAACGCAACTTTGGAAAAACATTAGTTTCTAAAGGTATTAAGCTTGTGTTATCAAAACGTTCTTAAAACAGGCTATGATTCATTTTGAATACGTAAATTTTTGACCTATATATCTCTTGATAGTATGTAAGTGATTGTATCACAATATTTAATCAATACTATATGTAATCATTTACGCTGGACTTTTTACTTTACAGTCCATGGTCTATACTCATACATATAAGAATATCTAACTCGTCACTGCTGTCGCTGTGTAAACGCTCCGAATCAAAGCAGCGGGTGTTTACTCGTATTGACCACTCACTTGTCTCCTGTGGTTTGTTCGAATACCCACACAATTAACAAGAAATTGGAAACTGACGATCTGTAAATGTCTTGGGCCTTTTATCCGTGCTGGCCTCCTAAAGACCAACAGTGGGAGATCCAACCAAAAAGAAATGGAAATTAACAAAATTTGAATCTATGAAACGAGTTTTCCGCGTTATACCGTAACATTTATTTTTAAAAAAGATCATCAATTAATACATACGTTTTGAATTAAAAATATTACGTTTTCATTTTGCAAACTTTTTATGACGATCCGCGGTTTGACGTTGTAAAATCAGTGAAATTGTCGAAATTTAATTTAATAATTGGAAAAGGTTATGAATTTATTGTAGAGCATTTGGTGTGATATTGGACCAATGTGAAATAAATTTTTGCTCTTCTTAGCTGCTATGATTCGGAATACGTTTTGTGATATGTAAACGACTTTAGATGTAAGTTTATCTTAATGGTAATAAAATGTTTATCGAACATATTAGCGTTTCATTTTAACTTCCCACATCAAAAGCACAAATGCAGAAGTGTTTTTTCTTTATTGAAGTAGCTGTAGTATGTATTATGTACATTCAAGTAGATTGTAGAATATGTACATACATTCTACACTACATATCTAAAGTACATACAAACCTTCAGTATCGCCCTTCTTTTCCATTTCACAAAAATGTTAGAATGTGTTTGATTAGTAATGAACCTGTTGCCCTACGCATAAGTACAGTCATATGTAAAAGAGGTAAGCCATCTTACAAAATAGAATATAAAAAATATCTTACAAATATATGCAAAGGCATCCAAATATTGTACATTATAGTCAATAAAAAATTTCAATGTTTGTTTCGATTGCAGATAAAAATTACAGAATTTCAAATGAACCTCCGAAATTTTCATTAGTCATATACTTTCACCAACTTATGGTTCTATTAAATAATGTAAGCAAAAATTTAAGCAAATATTTTCCGACATTATATTTGTAATAAATCCATATCTTAAATAAAAATAAAGGATTAATACTTAGTTTCAAGATTTTAAGTTTTAATAAATATCTGCCATTATCGAAGTAAAACTTTGTGTATAAGAATAATAAAAAAAAAATTAAAAAGGTAACCAACGATGTTTTCAATCGATGGTAAATACATTTTCAGTAAATTTTTGTAATTATTTAAAGGCACTTTAACAATGACAATAATCAGCTATTTATAAATATTTTTAATCGGCTCCCACATTAGGAATTCCTGTTTCTAAGAAGGTTTCACAAACGTGTAAAACATGAAAAATAATTTAAAAAAAACCTTAGCACGAACACATATCGGGAGTCAAGTTTCAACGACATTCGAACCCAGTGGTGGATTTGGCAAGTTTGTGTTTAACGTAAAAATATTTGTTAAGCAAGCGTAGCTAAGGTTTTAAATTAAATTATACAAACATATCTAAGTTCTTTATGAGCCTAGGCACCTCCGTCATTCTTGCTATAGATCTTAATTACAAACAAGGAGCATGGAATACTACTGGTACTACAAAAAGAGAAAAATCAAGCTATCGCACACAACCTACTAGTAGTTGACCCGCAATATAAAAGATATACTCCTCGAATCCAGCCTAATGGCGCTTCATTGGTCATCGTTGACTCTAAAAAGCCAAATGTTTTAACGGTGGTAGAGCCAATGGGCAGGTCCGTCCGGGTAAGTACCACGACCTCACAGAAGACCAGCGTAAAGTGGAAGTATGACAAATACTTTCGCGTTTCGTCTGGTGAGTGAGGTAGCCGGAGCCCAATTTTCAAAAGGTTGTCAACGCATCTGTAACCCTCGGGTGTGGCAGATGTCCATGGGCGGTTACGTTACTTTCAGCTCCAGAATGAAATTCGCTACAAAAATTAAAAATATATAATATCAAATATGATTCTTAAAGTGAGTGTGAAGAGAGATGCTGGAAAAGGACGGCTCATAGGAAATTTACGAAAAGGATGACTAAATATTAAAAGAAATCTAAGACAAGGAAAATGACGTATGTAAAGAAGGCAATGACTGTTTGTGTAGTCTATGAACTGGTATCCAACAGATACGTATTATCAAGAAAGTGAGCCAGGATATATTAAAGAATAGCAAAATAAGGCAGTAAATTTTTCTAGTTATATACATAGTTTAAACATTGTGTTGTAATAAGCGCAACGATGAAATTGCGATAACTGTCACATTTCTAAATTGTGAAGTTCTGAATATCTGAAGTTTTAATAAGGTTATTTATTTATTATTCAATTAAAGTTTTTTTTTTTTTACTATAGAGTACACTAAACGGACAAATAAGTAATGTGCCTAAAAAGCGAGACAGCCAAAGGAGAAGTAATGTAAAAAAAATATATTTATTAAAAAACTATCGCCCGACAGACGTTGTCCTGTACACACGACTAAAATCCGACAACAACCTATAAATAAAAATAAAACTGTAGTAGACCGAAATGTGAATCTAGACTATTCCCTAATCGATGTGAAGACACAAAAAATCATTAAAATCGATCCAGGCGCTTAGGAGGAGTTCAGTGATATATGTGTGCAAAAATTATAATTATACACTACTATCTGATCCAGCAAACGTTGTTTTGCTATATAAATTATTTGTAGGGTAAGAAAATTAAAAAATTAAAAATCTGTTGTCATTCTTACTGA